CGCAGGCTCAGGCAATCCACTCACCTCAGCCTCCCAAAGGCGCGGGATTACAGGCTGAGCCACGGAGCCCGGCTATCGCCATTTTTCTGTCTCTCGTCATCTGTCTCCTCTGGGCCCTTCATCCTCTCTGCTCTGTCTTCCTATGTCTCCATCTCTCAGTCTCCGTCTTTGTTTCTGCCTGACTTTGTTATGTCTCTCTCACCTCTATCTAGCACTTTCTCCCTCCTCTCCCTCTCTGTCTGTCTGTCTCTGTCTCCATCTCTCTCTGCCTGTGTCTCTTCCCCTCTCTCTGTCACTGTCTTTCTTATCTTGTCTCCCTGCCTCTCCTTTGTTGCTCTCCATCTTACCTGTCCCCAGGCCAGACTCTTTCTACCTGTACCTACCACTGACTTAGCATCCCCCCCAAAAAAAGCTATAATGGCACTCCAAATTTAACATGTCCCAGACGGGATGTCTGACCACTGACCACCTTTCCACAGGGTGAGACCATCACAGCTGCCAGGTTTACCCCGAGCTGACCTCCCCAGGACCTCGCCCAGTCCTCCACTGTAAACATCATCCACCTCCTGACGGCTCCCACATGTCCCCCTCTGGCCCAGGCCATGTTGCCACATCCTCAGCTCACGTATCAACTACGGGCCCCATTTTTGCAAACAGGGGCCTCAGCAAGTCTTTAGTGAGTGGCTCTTTCCTAGACATTGGAGTTAAAACCTAAGATCCCCGTCCTTCTGAGCTGACGCTGGCTGTCCCTCAACTAGGTGGATGGCACTTCCCCCCTTCCAGTGGCTCAGGGTGAAATGGTGGCATCTTCCTCAACCCTTGACTCCCTCTCACCCCACAGCCAATACGTCAGCAAATTCAGTTGGTTCCACCCACAACCCTCCCAGAACCTATGACTTCTCCCCCCTCCATGGTCCCCACTCTGGTCCTGTCCACAGGCATCTTCCATTTGTACCATTGCAGCAGTCTCCTCTCTGGTCTCCCCTCCTCCGGCTCTGATGCCCCCACCTCCGGGTCTGTTCCCACAGGCAGCCAAGAACCTCTGTGGCCCTGAGTCAGGTCACCTCTCTGCCCAGCTCGAAACTCTCTTGTACCTCTACCTCACTCTGGACAAAAACTAGAATCCGCCCCGTGGCCCACAAGGCTCCACACTATCTGTTTCCATCCCCTCTCTGCCCTCACCTCCACTACTCACCCGTCACTCACCCTCCTCCAGTCACACTGTGTCTTCTTTCTATTCTTGCAACAAGCCAAGCTCAACCCAACCTCAGGACTTTTGCACATGCTGTTCCCCTCATCAAAAGTGACTTCCTACTTCTCAACTGTAAAGCAATGCCCATCATTAAAGGCAGTTTACTCACGATTTCTGAGCACTGGGAGGGCAGGGAATGGGTCTGTACAGCTCATCTATTTTTCTACACACATATCCAGGACAACTTGGGCACTCAATAATTGTTTGCCAAGTGTTATTCTCAGTCTGTCCCTGTCTTTTTCTCAGTCTCTTTCTTTTAGTTTTTGTTTTCACATATCATTGTCTCTGCCTTTCCCTGTCTACATGTTTCTGTTTCTTTCTCCCCATATATATGAACTATATGAAGATAGTTCTATCTCTATTTCTCTTTTTTTGTTTGTTTGTTTTGAGTTGGAGTCTCCCTCTGTCGTCCAGGCTGGAATGCAGTGGCAGGCTCCCAGCCACCGCAGCCTCCATCTGCTGGGCTCAGGCGATCTTTCCACCTCAGCCCCAAGTAGCCGGAACTATAGGAGTGTGCTACCACACCCAGCTAAATATTTCTATTTCTCTATCCCTCTTTCTCTGTCTCTGTCTTACTCAGTGTCAGTTTCTGTCCCAGTCTGTCTTCCTTTTTTTTTTTTTTGTTTGAGTTAGAGTCTCACTGTCACCCAGACTGGAGTATAGTGGCACACTCCCAGCCACCGCGGCCTCGACCTGCTGGGCTCCAGCGATCTTTCCGCCTCAGCCTTCCAAGTAGCTGGAACTACAGGCACACGCTACCATGCCCAGGTAATTTTTAAAATTTATTGTAGAGATGAGGTCTTGCCAAGCTGCCCAGGTGGGTCTCGAACCCGTGGGCTCAGGCAATTCACTCACCTCGGCCTCCCAAAG